AAACGCGACGTGAGCGCGCATGCCATGATGCGATTTAAATTTGTTGGAGGTGACTTTGTTAAGTTTACACCGCGATCAAGAGTCAACAAAACGTGAGAATTGAGCGAGTACAGCTCTTCAGGAAATTCGTGTCTAGTCCTTTTTTTTTTATTTTTTTGCACATAAAGTTTGCGCTAAAATACAGCCGATACAGCACTGTAATAGCGACGGATGCTAAAAGGAGCTGCGGCATAGGGCATCATTCGTGCTCTCCCCGTCCACCACCACCATTCCACCAATCCAACCGATCCCGGTGACCCATCCTTGGTACCCATCCTTGGATCCCTTTCCTTGTTATCCACCACCACCATTTCACCGATCCATCCAATACATCCAAGCCATCCAATCCATCCAAGCCAACCGATCCAACCAAACCTTCCGATCCTTCCGATCCTTCAAGTATGTGATCCATCATGATGAATCATGGATCGTTGGTCTAGGTCTACTAAACAAAAATAAATCCAATAGAGACGAAGTCCATCAGATTTTTCCTACCGCCAGCAAGGCGGCAGGGGGGCTTAAATAGCCCTCTTCGGTCTCCTGTTTCGACCTCAGCACTTCAATTCTCTTTGGAACCAGCACTTCATCAAATTATTTCCTTGTTTAAACATCCGGTTGCAAAATGGCCCACCATACCCTACAAAACATCCCAGTGTGCGTCGTTTAATCCGACTTTGTACATCTTCATGCGGCCCATTTTTAACTTATTCTATGTTTTTTCTTTGGTTCACACAGCCAAGAAGGCTCTAATAGGCCTGTTAGCCCAAGTGCTCGATTTATATCTACAGCCAGCCCAATCAAGAGGCATGTGATGCCATACCCCGTTCACCCAATCAGCCCTTGCAGGCCTACTGGTCAACAACCTGCCATATTTGCTCCTTTGAGCAACAACTCAACTCTTCCTTGGAGTCACAGTGTGTCAGATGCGTCTGTCGAAGAAGCCATGGCGCTTGGCCGCCCTCATGGACAAACAATCTACAGATATGGCACCCCAGCCCATTTTCAATCTCCACTTGTCAACATCAACTCGATGATGGTGCAGCCCAACGTCTTTGGGCAAGGAAGTTTCCGTGCACCTGAACTTCCAAGCACCGGTCAAGTTTTGACCCCAACTCCAACTCCTAACGTGATCCATCTTGATCAAGATGGAAATGATGATGGTATGTAATTATGTGCTTTGGTAGAATGCCTGTACAAAAAGCTCACTCGGCATGAAATCATTTTCCTCCAATTTTTTCACCCTTTTCGACTTTTCTAGAATTACCAGACCCCTTAGATCTCATCCGACCAATCGATGCGGGGGTTGAATTTCCCAAAGAGACCCCTTTCCCCATCGAGGAGGAGATACAGCTCCCTGAACGTTCCTTCGAGATCTCGCTCAACCTATACCAACAACAACCTACCAATACTGACTCTGTTGGTAATCGAACTAAGAAGGCTCGCGGACGTGCTGCCAAGGAGGCTCCAAAGGCAGCCAAGCCCCAATGGAAGAATTTCAAACCTTCTCCGGTTAAAAGTGTCTTACCTGTCGGATCTTTTACTTGGCCTGTCTATCGCAAGAAGATTTTCGACACGTGCAATGTCCGACTCGCCGGCATTTCCAATGCCTTAATCGCTGCTGAAAAAACCGGTTTACTCGCCATTCAAGCTTTCATCAACGCCACCGATCGCCAACATAAGGCATACCACAGCTTTATTACTGATGATGCAAGTTTGGGCAAGTTTGTCACCGCTGTGCTAGCTGCCCCACCTGAGGCGATCATGGGGTTCAAAATTACCCATACAAACCCCAAAACCAGTGAGGATGCTAATCGCGCTTTAGCATCGACTTTCCCGCCACCTAATCACCCATCTGACTCTCCATCTGATGAGGAAGATACGGTCTCCGAGGGGGTGAGCTGTCTTATTTACCATCTTTTTGATTTTATTGAGATACCGGTTACTAATTTGTGTTTTGTTTTAATCACAGTCATCTTATCTCTCTGCCGCTAAAAAATGCTACCGGTTATTAATGGACCGTTTTGAATCTCAATTCAAAGCTGGTGAGAACATTGCAACCACGGTGAATCCGAAAAACCCTTCACAAATTATGCTTCTCAGCACAGCTCTTATACGTGGTTGGGCAGATGACTGGGTATTTTTTTTCCTTCTAACTTATTCACTTCGGTAGATGTCCACGTCACTGACCTATTTCACTTTGTAGGCTGACGGGGTCTGCGGGGTGGACAAAATCAATCCTCCTACCGAGCGTCCTGGTTACAAATGGATTCCTGCTTCTCAGTACCAGGCGGCGAAGGATGAGCTCAAAGGTAAAACTGGAGCGACCACTGTCAATGGCCAGGGCCCTAGTCTTGCGGGTACGGTCATCCATCATAACTATTACGGCCGAGTCCCCAGTCCTGGGATGCCACCTGTCAACCCATATGTCACTCCCAACATGATGAATACCCCAACAAGTTTTATGCCTCAAACCTCACCCAGTCTTGCAAAACGACAATTATCACCACTCCGCGGCGGCGAACGGCCTTCCTTTGAATCTTTTTTGATTTTTGCTGGCATTCACCCAGGCATGAAGAAGACTCGGGATGCTTTGCAAAATGAAGGTATTGAAGACTTCAATCGTCTACTTGACCAAGAAACTTACTCTGTATCAAAGTTGCATTCTTTTGGTATCCCTTTTGCTCATGCGGATGACATTTGGAAAGCCATTCCCAAGTTCCTGGCTGATTTGAAGTCCAAGAATATGCATTGATTGTAATTGTTTTCCAACCTACCCCAAAACACATACGTGACTATCCATATCGGTAGTTGTTTTTGGACTTGACTTCAACAGTCTTTCCCCCAAATATTGATGCGAGTATTTTCATTTCGTCTCATTTCTGTGTGTGCTCATTTCAATACTTTGTTATGACTTGTTTCCCCCATCATTATGTTTTGCCCATCGTCGTTTGTGATCCCCACTCTGAGCTTTTTGATGTCGCTCATCAATATTTGTACTTGTCACTTTATGCGCTTTTTGCATTGGTACTCTTCAAATGTTATGAACTTTGTTCGTCGTCTGCTTGCTCTTTACACCCGCATGGCGATACGTGAGAATGAGAGCAGATCCGTCGATGCGGTGGAGATGTTCTCATCTGCTTCCTTTCATATCCTCATCTCCATGCAATCGCCACTTGATTGACCGATCGAGCTCGTGTGAATCAATTGGTCATAATGCCTCCGAAAGCTTAATCCTATATCTAGATCGTCTCATTTGACCAAAAGGCCATTGATCGACTTTGGTGCTGAAATTCAACATTTAAGAGATGACTCTGCTCTTCATCCGCCTTCACGTTGCCTTATTTTGCCATCTTTACATGCCTGTTATCAATCTCGCCAATTCCCTTAAATTTCCCTTTCATCTTCTTTCACTTACGTTTTTCATCATCATGATGCATCAAGATATGCAAAATCCAACACTTGCCGACATCATCTGGTATGAAAGACTCTCTCATCGCGATAAGACCGACACTCTGCCTTTGGATATATCCCCAGACGCACACCCATTTGTTCGCGCCGGGGAAGATCAATGCTTTTATTGTAGTCTTTTCGGCCACCGTCAGGTCTCCTGTCCTATGAGGGAAGCTCATCAAAAAGGGAAGTCCCTCGCGGGCAAGAATATTGGACGCCAGGCGTTACCTCTTGGACAATGGCGCCGCGTCAAGAACGGGAAAACTTATAGTGTGGATATGTTGGGATCAAAAACTCATCCAATCCAACCGGTAGTCACCGATGGCCTCACCACGTCGAATGCACCCATCACTTTGACTTCCGTGAATCAGCCTCCTGCTTCATATGTACCAGATTTTTCAACATCTTCTGTACATCCGCCGTTGTCTCCTGGTTTATCTTCCTCAGATGAGGAGTATCTAGCGCAAATGATTGCCGATATGGATGCCAGTAAGCATCAATTTCAATTGCTCGCTTGCACATATATACGCTGATCAGACTTGCAGATTCTGACCCTATGGATGAAGGGCCAGTTCATGCCGACCGTGCCGACGACATCATCTTGTTGGACGAGAACGAGTGTTGTGATATATATGGCGGTAAGTTCTCTTGCTAACTTATCTCGTCTTTTGTTTTGTTCGATCCTGATTCAAACTTGTAGACTCAATGGCCATCGAAGTTGCACCTATTGCACGTCCAGTACCCAACACACAAGATGTGAACATGTTAGTTGACGACTGTACCGTGATACCAGAAGATGATGGGCCGCCAGTAGCTACCAGCATCCTCTCAGTAAGAAATCAACTCACTTTTGGAGGTCGCATGCGGGTGTTACATGGTGGTGGTGAGTCCTCACCGCTTCATCTTCAATCTTTTTTGATTGCTAACACCCAGCTTTGAATTCAGGGCGGCCAAGTTCTCAGCGGCTAACACACCTTGGACAAAGCTCGAAATCTTAGAGGTTGTTCATCTCTTATCATGTTAAATAGAGGTTGTTCATCTCTGATTGTGTTTAAAAAATGTTGTGTTTTCGATTGTACACGAGGAAGTAAGGCAAGGTGAAAGGCACCTGGGAAATTTTTGGGTTCAAACAATAACAATTTCAAAAGTTGCCAATTTCCTACTTTGCGCCACGAACTAAAATCAGTTTGACCACAAAGAGGTGGATAAACATCCATACAAATTGACCATTTGAAACAAAAGAGGAAAACAAGTTATCAAAAGTGTATTTACTACGCTACAACCAATAGCCACACACAGTGTATAACTTATTCATGAGTCTTCCTGTAAAAGTATCCCAAGTCACATTCTCAATGGTAGCAATCTTCTCATCGGCAGCAGCCAATACAACACATTGCAATCGACGAAATCGGGCTTTTAAAACACTGAACGCCTTTTTGATTGGATTATAATCGGGCGAGTAGGGGGGTAAGTAAAGTATACGAATTCCCTTCTCCTCAGCAAGTTCAGCTATTCGCCTGCCATGGTGAATGCGCGCATTATCCATGATCAGAACCGAATTCGCCTGCGGGTATGGATTCATGACAGGGAACTAACAGTGCAAAGTCAAAAAACCAGTCTTGAAAAACCAAACCAGTCAAAATAAGAGAAAATACATCCAAAATGAGACTCACCAGCTTGTGTTTGAGAAAGCTTTCAAAATCTTTGCGGAGAAAGCTACCTTCCTGGCATGCCATTGCCAAAACCCCCCCCTTGAAAATAGCAGGCAAGAGAGAGAAACGCTTGCCACCTTGGCTCCATGGCATTCTTTTCATACGATGTCCTCGCAAGGCCCAACCATTTTCTCGTCGGAGGCTCCGTTCCTGAATAGCGCACTCATCTAATGCAATGATGACGTCAGATTGGATTAAAGAAATTACTCAAAAACATGAAACTCCACATACCTAAGAACACCATCATTTTGGGTCGCAATCCACCTGTTTCATATAAGAAGCTAGCCCTTTTGTTGGGGCATTGGTTTGGGTGGACAGTCCACGTTTTCTTCCAACTGAGTGAGAGGCGTGTTTTGAGATCCTCAGCAATGGTCTGAATCAACACCCATTTGCCAGACTCTTGATACATGGCGCGGCGAAGTTCGTCCAGATACATGGTAGGGTTGTCTTCGACCAGCGTCAACAGGAAATCTCGATGTTCATCGGTCAATCGGGTATTTCGGCCAACCTGCTTGTATTTGTCTGGATGGCGAACCACACTGTACGTTTGGCGGTACAAAGCGTGCCAGCGTGTGATGGTCCGCAGACTAACCGACGATCACAGCATATGTTTGACCTCTAAGCGGCTCATGCCTTCGTGAAGGTACTGGACAGCCAGTACCTTGATGCCGGGATCGTACTTTCCAGGTCGTACTGGTCGTACCCTCGTCGTGGTCTGGATCGAGATCATACAAATCAAGTCAGTGGAATATTTTTGATATTGAAGGTAAAGGGGGGAAACAAGAACTGACTTAAGATGTGACGGGTAGAGATAGTGAATGGGCAGTTAGTGGTGGAACAAAGTGACGAGGGGAAGTTGATCGTGATTGGGAGGAATCAATGGTCACTGGTATCGGCGGAAGCAGAGGAAGGGGAGATTGTGGAGGATACCTTACTGCTGCACATTATAGCATCCGTCGCTATTACAGCGCTGTATCGGCTGTATTTTAGCGCAAACTTTATGTGCAAAAAAATAAAAAAAATTAGGACTAGACACGAATTTCCTGAAGAGCTGTACAATGGGCCTTTGTACATAAGAGCATCTCCAATGCGCCTGAATCTGAATGACTAAACCTTACGTTTATGTCAAAAACTTGACGTGTACAGGAGTTATTCAGAAAATTGTCCTCCAGCGCCGAGGGCGATTTCTCACACCTGGCCCATGGTGTGACTTTGTTTTTTGAGTATTGGCATGATCCCAGGCCCAGGTCAGCAAATTTGCTGACCTGGCTGAATCGCTGAAAAACCAGTATCCCATCGCTTTTTGGTCTTTTGGTGACTAAAAATTTTTCCATACGTCAAACTCGGTACGTATTGTGTAATCTCAATACATACCAATTGTCTTTCAATCATCCAACTGGTACGATTGAGTAAACAAGTGGCCCATACGGCCTTTAGCAGTCCTCTACATCTCTCCCAGTCCCAGTAAAATTAACATGCCTAAACACCCCACCCCTTGAGGAACCAATGGGTAATATATTGATATTGAAGAAAGTAAATACAGCGCATCTCTCTGGTTTGAGGTGCGCTCATGCAATTAATATGATGTGAGTACAGCTTGGGATGTGCTCAAACAATAAATCCATATGGATTGTTTGGATTATGAGAACATGCAGCTGATCAGGGGTGTGTATCTAGAATCTAGATCACCAGCGCTGAGTTTATTTATCTAGGTTTTTGGGTACATAAAGACCCCACTGTTGGTATTGTTTGGTTGAATTGTTTGTTACCTTCCTTCACCGTGTCCAACACTTATATCCGCCCTTCCACATTGTTGAATACTTTCCACTTCACTTGTTCAATATTATCTGGCCTTCTTTCACATTCTATATCATATATCTCTTACTCTCCATCAAAAGTTCCAATATTGTCATGCAACAATCTTTCTCTTGCGGCAGCAGCGGTGGCAATGTATCACCCTCACACCCAAGTTAGTTTGGTTGATCATCTTATTATAGTGTGTTCAATGTAGGCTAACTTTCAGTGTCTCTCATCCAAGGAAACCAAAGCGTTAACCCCCGTCGGAGCTTTCAGGCCAATGCCACGGAGTCAGCAGCACATGGTCAGTCATTTCATTTGAAACCCACGTTTTTCAAGTTATGTTAACAAACAAGAACTCCGTCCTGTTCTAGGTATTCAAACGTCTTTGAGCAGTCTTCATATGGGACAAAGGCTCTACCAGCATTCACCCAGTCGAGGTTATTGCAATGGCCGGGAGGATTCTTTGGATGCTCATACTCAGCATAGCAATGATCGCCATATTGACCCGCCAAGATCCTTTTGATCCTATCATGGCCGCGAAGATTCTTTGGACCTTCATTCTCAGCACAGCAACAATCACTATTCCACCCCGTATCAATTGTACAGATCCCCCTCGGTCTCTTTGGTGTCTGAAGGTTTTGTGCCCTGGCCTAGTAGCTCACAGGTTTTTACTCCAACTCAGACTACCGGTCCCTCTTCCCAAGTTTCGTCTATGCCTAGCACACCTGCCAGTTCATCAGGTCGGCGCGCCTCAATCAACCAAGCCGCGCCTGTCTCTGTTCCCAAACCTCCTGCTGGTTCTGGCCTCCGCAGTGCAAACTTTGACAAAGACTCCCTTAAGCAACTCTGTGTTTCCTGGCTCCATGTCTCGCAGAGCGCTGTCACAGGTGATGATCAACAATCAAATGTTTTCTGGGCTAAAATTACCAAACACTTCAACGACAACGTGGTGGAAGAGAATCAAAGATCTCAGAAGTCCGTTATGTGTCAATGGTCTACCCTTAATCGTTGCATGTCTAAGTTTGCCGGCTGTCTCGAACAAATCAAGAAACTCAAAGAATCCGGAAAATCCTCTGATGATCAAGTCTCCGATGCCCTTCTACTTTACAAGTCCGATACCAAAGTCTCTTTCACCAATATGTCAAGTTATAATGTGGTCAAGTACTCACCAAAATGGCAACAAAATCCTTTCTACCTTGAACACTGTGGTCAATCCAAAGCAAAACTTGATTCTTCCTACACCGACATGGATTTGGGTTCCGATTTGGACAGCTTGCCAAAGATGATCTAAGCAAGCCAAACATCAGGCAAAACGCGGCTGATCTAGCCTGGCCGAAGAGATCCTGCCGCAAATGCTTGAAAATTCGAATTCAGTGGTCACTGCAACCAAGGAAATAGCGAGTCAAGGCCGAGAAGCCCAGAACACCTTGCAGTCAATGCTTGATTTCTCTATTCTCACTGCTAACACCACTGGGCTTGACAATGCTACGCGGGCCGAGATTGAAGCAAGGCGTGGTAGGATAATATCAGCTGCACGTGCTCTCCGCGAAGCTGAGGATCAGTAGTTGGTGTCTTATTTCCAGTATTTGGATGAGAAGATGTAGTTTCACTTGTGTGTCTCCGGTCTGTCTGTTATTTTTTGTGCGCTATACTTTCTCCTTTACGTGTGATTATTATGTTATACTTCATGTGATTATTTCATCTTTCTTACAACGGTTTCTGAGTGTGTGTGGTCTGTTATTTGTGATCCATTACATGTGAGTATTACTTTCAACACGTTCATTCATTATGTTGTGATGGTAACATTAGTATACTCTACTTTTGAAACTATCATACTTCAAATCGAGGAAATCATCATGGCGCATTTGATTATACAATCGCAGCCATTTGATGAAATGCTGCAATAGTTTAACCAGGTTAACTTCATCTGCGCTCATGAAAGGGTATAAAATCAAGTGCGCCTTCTTTCTTTCAAGGCTCTTTTGCCAATCTTTCATTGACCTTGATTAGTTCTGTTCATCATTCCACATCATCACCTCCTTTGCAACAACATGTCTAATGCTTGTGTCGTACCTTACCCTCGTATATGTGACAATGTAAATCTATGGGGACTTTGACCTGCGAGAGAGCATGAGGAAGGTATGCCTGACCACTATTGTGCCAGCAACACATAGAGCTGATCATCGTTTCGAAATGTGACTCATCCAGCGTGTTGGATCTGTTCTAACTACATGAGCCCACGAACAATCCGGTACTTCCAAAGGCAAACACGTCTATCAAACTCAAGCTCTGAGACAGGAGGTGGGTTATTACATTGATAATCTTCTCAAAGTCGTCCTAACTGATTACCTGGTTCTTGTTTGCTCATATAGCAACCAAGCAACCCCATGATGCAAAACATGTCAGTACCGCATCAATCCGACGTTGATTGCGACTTGAAGAACATAAACAAAAAGAAGAAATGGAAAAGGCAAGACGCGATGTCATATTGATTAATCAGAAGAAACGATGAGATGCATTTCCCAATTTGCAACAATCTCTTTACCAACTTGCCAAATACAAAGGTCCCTATCTTCAGAACCAAGGTGACAAGAAACGTGCAGTGTGTTACATTTGCGAGAACAATCTTGGCAACGTATTTGGTGCGGAATTTCCGCATGACGCAAAGTGGGAATACCTGGACCGCCGTGTTGCCAGTGTCATATACGTTAAGTAGTGTTCTAAATCTTTTTGGCTGCTGAGCTTTATTTGTATAAACTTGTATAAAGTTGTGTATAGCATGAATGGCCGTTCATATTTCACATGGTTTAATCATAAGGAAACAGGCGTGAAAGAAAACGAGTGACATAGAAAAGAATACAAGCCGGTGCAAGAGAGCAGAGAAAGCGATCACAAACATATACAAGAAATAAAAAGTTTGACCAAACAAATTGAGTGTAAAGAGACAAATATAAATCAATCACACTGAGGGATCTAAACTCCAACTGCTCCATCATCCACAGGTACGTGGTTCCAGATGTGTTTGATCAAGTCATCACTTAAAGCCATGTGAGCATCAGATGAACAAAAAGCCTCACACCTCTGAATGAAACCCGCTGTGACACCCGGAGGTCGCTGGAGATGTGGTGGAGCCATCAATTCTGCACTTTCTAAATCTTCAACTCCAGCATGACCTTGATCTTCAATGATCATGTTATGAAGGATAATGCACGCATTCTTTAGCAGGGCGAGAGAGCTTGGTTGCCACATCCTTGCTGCCGTGGTAATGATGTGGAATCGGGCTTGCAGGACTCCAAAAGCTTGTTCCACATCTTTGCAAACGGATTCTTGAGCTTTAGCAAACTTCTGGAGTAAATGATGAAAATCAGTCAAGTTTAGCAGTGAGTGAGCCTTAAATATAAAACAGAAACATTACATACCGACAATTGGGGCGTTGATGGGGCGCTGAAAGTTTTTATCAACGTGGACCAACTGGGATAGACTCCATCGGCAAGATAATAACCAGTGTTGTACCGGTTCCTGTTGACCTCAAAGTTGACCGCGGGCGCTAATCCTAGCGACAACTCGTCGAAGAGGTTTGAGCATTCCAAAACGTTGATGTCATTTAAAAAACCAGGTAAGCCAAAGAAAGAATGCCAAATCCAGAGATTTTGAGTGGCTACGGCCTCAAGAACAAGAGTTGGAGTACCAGACCATCCCGAGTAGTGACCTTGCAGGGCCTTGGGGCAGTTTGCCCACTCCCAATGCATGCAATCAAGGGATCCGAGCATACCAGGAAAGCCTCTTTCAGCATTTTCAGCGGTTATCTTTGCAACATCGTTGGTGTTGGGCTTGCGTTGATAGTGAGCACTAAAAAGCTGGATGATACCACTACAGAAGCGAAGTAGACATTCAATTGAGGTGGACTCGCCAAGACGCAAGTACTCGTCTTGTTGATTGGCCGAAGTCCCATAAGCAAGCTGGTGGATGGCAGCTGTGCATTTCTGGTACTGAGAGATTCCCATATAACCTGGACTTGGTCATAATCAGCAATTGAATACCTTGTTGAAAAAAAAAGTGAGCACTCACCAAGGGCATTGCTACGCTGGGTGAAGTAAACATCATGCTCGCCAAGAGCCTCAACACACTGCAAATATAATGTGTTTCTCCAAAGTGAAAAATGATTGCACTTAATGCACGAAATGATTAATAATGCAGATTTAATCACGCATCAGCCTGGCATGACCTGCCTGTGAATCACGACGTAAGTTAGGTGAACGGCTGATTTGGGAACCACCTGCTCCACCAGGTTCCTGAGTATCTTCTAAAGCAATTAAAGCACATACGGGAGCATTCGTCCTTGGCTCGGTATACCAAACAGACCTTCGCCATACACACGGAGTTTCACCGAAGTAATCACGCATCAGCCTGGCATGACCTGCCTGTGAATCACGACGTAAGTTAGGTGAACGGCTGATTTGGGAACCACCTGCTCCACCAGGTTCCTGAGTATCTTCTAAAGCAATTAAAGCACACAGCATGTCTGAATGGTAGGTAGACAGGGATGAAACAGCTTGAGCGCAAAGTGAAGCCACAACCTGGAATTGAGCGATGAATTCTAGTAAAGTTGTCAGCCATGAGGAGTATCTTGGCAATACTCCCATTGGCAGTCATAAGTATCAACAACATAGCCTATGTAAACATTGATAGTTATGATATCAATACATACGTACATCATCTTGAAAGAATCCATGATGACATACTCAAAGTTCAGGAGACCCTGATCTCAAAGAAGGTTTCCTTGAGCCTAGTTACATTCCAAGAATGTGACTAAGGGATCAGGAACAAGTAACATCACACTGGTTACAAAAGGACCCTTATGAACGCATGCAACAATCCCTTGTGTGTTAGATCACAAAGAGATATGCACCATGATATATAAGTAGTGGTTTTACACACATTTCAAGAAAGAGGATCATCATATAATAAACCTGCACTTTAAACCATTAGACCGTAAAACTCTATAACCTTTTACAACCAACCCCAGCCGAACACTTTTAAATTAGAAATGCATCTTTGATACCTTTCTTCTTTTCATGTATACCGTGGTTTCTTTTAAAATCCGTTATTGTTTTATTGCTCTGATTCTATAAAGTCTCAATGTTTTAATGATCACATTTGAATCTATAATCTTCCATCGAACATCTTCACAGATCTTATTTTGATAAAGTTACGCTTATCAATTCAAGTAGAAGTAGATCTACCCTGAGACAGGTGTACTAACGTACCCGTCTGAAGAAGACCACAAATTATATCACCAAATATAATTGTGAGTACTAGGTTCTTAATCTATTTGCACTCCTTGTGCGAATAATACCAACCTTCACCTTCTAGGCTCGAATTTACTTCAGTAAGATACTGTAACAAAGCCTCAATACCAATTGCAAGCACACATTTATTCAGCTATGATTCTCATAAAGCCACCTGTTTTAGGTCTCAGGCTGACAAAAGTGATGGCCATGGAGATCAAAGGCTGAAATGGATTTGTCTAGCGAAGTGCAGTTGGATATGATTTATAGAGTCAATATGGACAAAATGAAATGTATATTGTTTATTGATGAAACAAAGAGTTATATGGATATGGACAAAGTTGAAGAGGGCAGAAAATAACGGAGGGCAAGGGGGGCAAAAGACAGGTGAATTTAAATCATATATATATCAATGACAGCAGTATTACGATTACTCAGCGGCCAGTTGCAGCAGATGAGAGCAACCGTAAAATGTGGGACAAGGCGTTTAAATCCGCGCTCCAACAGCGGAATCAGCCATAATAGTTTGAGGCAAGCATGCTGTGTGGTGAGCAAACACAATGTTTGCGCGATCATTCGATCAAACCAACCTCGTAATTTGAGCAAGGTTGGTACGATAGGGTACGATCAACCTAGTACGTAGGTGAAAGCTCACGTCTGGACCAAAAGGTGCTATGGGCGACGTGGGTTGAACCTCAAGAGGAATTGAGAATGAAGTTCAGATTGTGCGCTGGAGGGACCTGTCCTGACATGTTGCTGAAAAAGAAATACAGCTGTCCAGCTGAAGAAATAAATTACCTGTATGAGTCATTCAGATTCAGGCGCGTTGGAGATGCTCTAAGGGACTTTGTTGAGTTTACTTCGTACACTCATGTAGCTGATCACAATGATTCGAAGTGATGTTGCCAAGAAAATTGCTTCAAGACGACTACCCTTAACTTAACAAAGTCCCTCTCGCTAAATTAACGACTACCCCGACTGATAGGCTCTGTGACTACGGAAATGAAACACGCTCCTCAGTCGAGGGGCTACATAATGAGCTCCCCATGTTAAACAGTCTCTCGTCATCGGCACTTACACCATGAAGACAAGAAGGCCCGCCTTGTCGTGAACTGTTCAAGGAAGGATCCGAGCCCAGCGACCATGATCTCGTGGATCCATGTGAACCAACCCCCGATGCGGGCTCTCATGATTGTGAAAACGTGCAAACGTGACCACCAGTCATTAAGAGTGGGTATGCCTACAGTGCGACCGAAGTAAATCCAAAGGCTGTTCAGAGGTGAGTATCACGATTCACCGTCTCTAAAAGGCTTACTTTTGCCAGATAAAAGCGCTCTGTTTGAAGCTCAAAGTTCCCATCATTATCTACGGAATGCGAGAGGTGTCACGGTGACAATGCAAAAATCAATCAGCTATCACAGAATATACCTTGTGATTACTCCCTTATCTTTTTACTTACTCTTATAGTCAATTACTTACCTCACCTAATTTTTCCCTCTGAAACCCCTTTGCTCCTCCAGAATAAGATTTTCACTGAAGCTATTATCCTCAGAACGGAACTCGTCAAATCCAAACCATATTAAGATGGTCAGTTTTTGAAGTCTTACAAAATAATTTTTTGGCAACTTGTAAATGTTGACATGCAGTTTTCACGTTTATTTGCGCTAGATGTCTCAATGGTCTCTCAAACTCCTTGCGGTATTTTTGAGCCTCATTGCAATTATTGCACCCATTGCTGAAGGCAAAAGGATGCCAACAGGAAACAGCCATAAGGAACCACCAAGACCAAAGATACCCAAGTGTGGCCCAGCTATTGCAAAGTGTAAGACAGGAACACCTTCATGTGTAGGTAAAAGACCATCGTGTGGCCAGGGGGGCGAATTTATTAAGTGTCCGGTTCCACTGACATGTGCATAGCCGAGGTCCTTTCATCCAAGAGAGATTTGCTAGTGATGATTCATTCAAAATAGAATCCTCAGGCTCAATTGTGCGTGTTTGTCTCATGTTGTTGGATTGGATGAGGAGTCCAGTCAGATTGACCTGAGTAAGAGTGAGGTTACAATAGAAGCTTCCCTTGAAAAATTAGATGATATACCTTAGTTTCTGGTAATCAGCTATGATCAAATGTGATAATGGAGAAATCAATTTAACTTTTCAAAAAAATCCTTTTCAGATTGATTTATGCAATCTATGAAATGTTCTTGCCAACAGTTCTCACTCCTCAGCGTTAATTTCCCCATTTCCCCATCCAACTGACCTATACCCTTAGAGCACCCACTATCATGAGGGTGATTTATCGTAAATTTTGCGTTCCTGAGCGCAAAATTTAATCACGCGTGTTTTACCTAAGTTGGTAAACGCATGAAATCCACTACGGATTGATGTAACAAGTGATTTACCAACAATAACGCATTCTTAAGACACTCTACACTCTATGGCAAAATCATGAACTGACTTATACTATCTTACTGCACCTCACCCAGCTCACCTCTATGCTGATGACCACCTTGGTGACTAGAAAGAACCAAAGTGAAGTCTTCAGTTGTTGACAAGAAACTAGCCAACAAGCTTTCTCACCTCTTGTTTGATCTCGGTGAAATCGATCCCGCGAGATCACTTTTTTTTTCAAAAAAAAATACCTTTTCAGCAAGTTCAGAGTAAACAGCTAATCTTAACAAGCTGGGATCTTGAGGGGACAGGGAGGATTGAAGGTGTGCAAAGCTGGAGGGATGCAGATGGAACATTGGATGGCAGTTGACCGATTGGATGCGTCAAATCCTACGATAAATCAAGTTTTAAGCTTTCGTAGATTTGAACAAGCGCGATGCAAAATTTGATGCAGTCGTAGGGACCGCAAGTGTAAAACAGGCCCATAGTGGACCTGTGTGCAATTTAGCGGTAAAGTTACGATAAATCACCTCGTTACCGCAACCATAGTGGGTGCTCTTAGAACCCAACTACCAACCCCTCTACTGACCTATACTTATACTTCTACTTAGTACAGTAGTGTTCCCCATATGGTCCGCCCTTGGTCTAAGACTAATCCCTGGACGTTATCACCCACAGTTCAGAGCTTCTTCCACTTAATGATACTTCCACTACCTGTTCCACCCGATGTTCAAACCATCTTGCCCTCACCCCTCTTCTCTCCCATTCCAGCCAAGTTGCACCATTAGCCTGCCCAGACGCACATCACGAGAGCCCACTAAGGCACTTACCGGACCCCTTTCAACCTTTTCTTATAGTGTCTTCCGATGTCACTAAAAAAGCACTTGACACAGCACCTAAAGCGGCCTCCCCCACTACACTCACTTTTAACCTTGCTTTCCTGTCACCTGCACAAACAAGACTGACCAGGCAGTTGACAACACGCGCAAGCAGCCTGAGCCCTTGGCATTCCTCAACAATTCTAACATCTCACCAATCCAATCAATATGAAACTAAAATGGGAACACAACATTCATCAAGTCCAGTTCTTATCAATTGATCTAATCCATAAAACTTAACAACACCAACAACACCAAACCATCATAAAGAAAGTCTGCTGAACAATGGATCTAATTCAAATTGAAGTTTTCATTCATTCTTAATGGTAACTAATTATTCAAAATCAGATCTAATCAAATTAAATTCACAATCAGGTGAAAGATGATTAGTCGTCATTCCATCAAAAGTTTATGATTTAGCACTTTGGTTGGAAGATCAGTTGTGTTTAAATTCAATCAACCAATCCACAAAACGAGCTTGTAGGTGGGTAGGAAGATAACAATTTTCTATTTAATTGTGACAAACAACCCACACTGCCCTTTAAAGTCTCGGCTGAATCAAGCAACCAAAAACGTTGAATTTTATCGCAAGTCATCACTCTTCCACAAGTAAAAACCAATCATCTGAATCAATGATATCATTTACGTGATATTAAAGTTATGAATGAATTACTTTTCATCTCTTGATTGATCAACTATGTAGACAATAAATTAAGATTTCCAAGCTCAAGTCTTTTGTCTAAAAAACCAAAAAACAGAACCACAAACAATGTCAAACCCCCATGAGAAAAACAGTGAATTCTTAATCAAACAAAGCCTACTTACAATTTTCATCTCCCTTTTTCTCTCTATCTACAACAAAAACCTCAAAGAGTTAAAAGTCACAAGATTATCCACTTGGTCAAGAAAAGTATCTTTTCTTTTCCTTTGATGAGATCTTCTTCATTCTCTTCTATTTAATTAATCTGATTTCACATAAACAATATACATTTTGACTAAGTATTACTTTCTCAACATAAATAAATTACAAACTCTTTCTCTAAGAAATCATCCAACTAAAAGATCCACATAAACAAAGCAAAACACATTTCAAAGTGAAATGAACGCTTTCAATTACTATTCATATCAAAAAAGTTCAACGTTAGTTAACTTCATCATAAAGCTCTTTGAAGGATATCTGATGATTTTGTTTCAAAGAAAAAAAATCAGAAAACACAAATCTTGAGTCCACTTACAGAGTTCCTTTACATTTTGAAGAACCACATAAACATGGGATCTTAACATCTTCTTTTGGAAAATGATAATCATAAGTGACTTCATCACCAAGTTCAACTACCCACAAAAGAAATCAATCAGCTTTCAAAATTCTCAAATCCTTGACCTGTCTTTATGCAAAGAAAGAAAACAAGTTGGTAGCTTGAATAAAAACTGACTGGTTGCTTTAGCATAAATCACAATTTTCTTTTCACCATTGATCGTAATAATTTTGGCCGTACAATTAGGTGCGCAACAATGATTAATCAATCGACTAAATCCTCCAAAGAAAACCAAACCTGATAAGTAAATCTAATCTGTTCAAAGAAAAAAACAAGGTTGTATAGAAACGTACCCAAGGTTACCTTTCTTAGTTGCATCCACAACTAAATCATCATCAACTCTAAATAAGTAACTAGACCCGATCCCCATTCTTTCATATGCTTTTTCTCTACGATCAGCAACTGCTTGTCTAATTACCTCTCCAACATATTCGATTACCATTTCACCCACTGGTATCATTTCCATTGCATACAAACCCCACTAGAAAGAAACAAAAACAAACAAATCAGTTCAAAGCCTTAAGATAATCTTCAAGGAAAAATATAAAGAAAAAGTTCAATGCATACGTCATGAATGGGAGATCTAGCGAATTTAAGTTGTTTTTTCCTTGTTCTTAATTGATTAAACTTCAACACATCAGCCACCGCATCAGCCGTATTAACCAACGAAACCCCTGTTGCTTTCTTATTTTGTTCCATATTGATTACAAACCTTCTAGAATTGACTCTAGTAGATCTAGAAGCAGCTAAAGCCATTGTATTTTGATGATTTGAGCTTGTGATCGCTCCTACATCTATAATCGCTTTATTTCTTTGAGGTAAATATGATGCTTTCTGAGATGAAGTTATATGATAATATCCTTCAGTTCGTGAAGAACCTGTTGAATGTGGTATTAATGAATTTCCTGGGGGTGTCTTCTCGTCATCGTCATCCTCGGTTTGATCTTGATCAGTAAGTCTAGATACCACTCGTGCCACCGGCATATTACTGCCTACTTTGTTCGGAGAGCCTGATATCTCTGCGGGTGTGGTTGTGGTAGTTGGAGAAGGTGGAAGTGGGCTTTGACCTGCTCTTATCCTTTCCAATACCAACTTCACATAATATAGATCCTCTTCATCTTCTGCCACCCCATGCTCATAAGCGTTTGGCGGTTTGTCTAGCTTCTGATATTTACGTTTCACAGTACGTTTTTGTTTTTTATTGGGTCGAGGATTGAGATCATCTTCATCGTGAGACGGTGGTAAGAGGTGATCCGGTTGTGTAAGGGAAGTTTGAGGAGAACTTTGGGTGACGGTGGGAGCAAAAATCGAGGCATCTTCATGAGGCGAGTGTGAGGATTCGTCCATCACTTTCTCGTGAAGCGGCGACTGCGAGCCAAGCTGCTGGCTTGTCTTCTGGATAGAAGATAATGAAAGCTTTGTACTAGCGTGCTTCAAGATGACCTCAGGAATTTGATGTTTATGAGCGTGCTTGGACCGTTTCCAATCTGACTTAGGCTTGACCTCCTCCTCGTCTTCTTCCTCGCTACTCGTAAATGTTACCGCCTTCTTGAACCGCTTCCGGACCTTCTTTTTGACCACCTTACTCACAGGGATCACAACCTGAGTTGATGCGACACTGTAGGAAGACCGATGTTCGTCGTCGTCGGATATGACCTTCATCGAGTCCACCTCGTCGTCTTGAAGTGGTTCCCGCATATCTGGACCCTGTGCATGTTGATCTGAGGACGCTACAGAAGTAGCATCATCTTCAACTAGCCTGGACAGTAAAGGACGGCTAGCCTCAGATGCGGATTCGTAAGGATATGTAGTAGAGCTCTCGTTCAAGCTTGGAAGTGGATTAGAGGTAGTGGTCGAGATTCTTCGATCGCTAAGCTTAGTAGCGGGTTTCCTTTTAGCAAAAGAAGGCAACTTCATCAAAGATGGTGTTTGATGAGCATCAAGTGAGAATCCGTTTTTCTCATTGCTGGTTGATACTGAGGGAGGTAGAGGGGTAGGAGCAGCAACCGGAGGGGCCCTGTGTAATTGTTTTTCTTGATCTTCTTTCAGATAATCCCAAACCTTGCCAGAGACTATGCGATTCTTGAGGTCTTTGATGAATGTTGCTCGCAATTCAGCTAGAATTATACTGGTTGCCCGTGTGATTAAGTCCTCGTCAGAAAGTGGCTGCGGTGATGATCGTCTCGGAGGTGATTGCCTTGGAGGTGATGGTCTCGAGAAGGTGGGCTTGACCTCTGGGACTGTGACTGATGATAAGCGAGGACGAGGCGGAAGCGCTTGAAGCTTGTTATCATACAAGAATTGATATTCCTCATTTGTGATCGGTTGATGGATTTCACACGGAAGTTTTGTACCCATAAAGAGAGTGTTGTTCACATACTCGAAGGCTTTTTCGGTGAAAGTAGATTCTTCGAAAGTGATATACCACATTTGACCATCGGTCATCACCTGCACAAGACGAATGTAAAGGAGTTCACAAACCACACAGAGCAAGACCAAAGCGCAGAGCGGTATCAGCCAAACGCTTGATTTTTTTAAAAAAAGGCAATGATTTGATACAATCGCATCAGGATGGAGAAGATTGATCGACAAACCCATAAAGAAAGAAATGGAACAAGAGATATCACGTGCAAAATGGGAAGATAAAGGGTTCAGGAATGACAGACCTGAACGGTGCCGAATTCCGAAAGGTATTCCTTGAGTTCTGCGGGGCCCTGTGGAACTCTTGTCCACATATCAATTTTGCTGAGTTCAACACGATTGATGGTCAAGAAAAGAAGTCCGTTGATGGAAAGTCTCTTCAAAATCTCAAGCTTGATCAACTTGTCAACACCAATGAAGTTATTCGGCCAAAGTACGGATAGCTTCGCAAGATCGGAAGGTTCGGATGACCCAACAGGCTGGTCAGCCTTGACCGTCCGGTGAGGCAAGTAGGTAGATGCGTGATAACTCTTCTGGATGTGCGTTTCACTTGACAGTGGAGCGAGTTTGGTGGCGTAACCTTTTCGACTTGCAATCAGAGCTTCCCTTTCAGCCTCCTTGAGCCTTTCAGCCTGAGCGTCTTCGTCCTCACTTTCCGAGTCGTCATAGTCGTCACCCTCTGGTTCTTCCGACCGATCCTTCCGCAATTGCGTGCTACTTGATGCCCCCCGCCGGATGTGTGGATCAGTAGCTCCGGAAGAGGCCGGGACAAAAGAGCCGGGAAACATACTGCTCGCGGCTGGTGATGGAAGCTGAATCCCAGCTTTTTTGGCTGCAGCGATAGCAGCGTTTTGAGCAGCCGCGACAAAGCCAACAGCTATCTTGCCCCGAACGGGCCCAGAGTTAACTTGCCCCTGTTTAATGTAGTGACTGGTCTTGAGAGCCATGGGCATTCGCGAGACTGGAAAGCTTTCTGCTGGCGTGCCGTTGGGATGCGGTTGAGAAGGCAGTGGGGTGTTAGAGATAGGAGTGATGAACTTGAATTTGTCTGATGGGAAGTCGGACTCTGATCCGTGAGGCTCGGTGCGGAGTGGTGCCCCTACGTGATGAGTAGCCAATCTGTGACGCATGGCGGAGGGCATCGTAGGAAGTGGTCCGGTTTCCGGTACTTCTGGTGTTGAAAGGTGCGATTGGTGCTGCCTGGGACCTTGAAGTAGAGATTTCGGGTCCCGAGCAGTGGGATGAACGACCGATGATGTAGACGCTGGTGACGGGTTCAAATGAGAGGTAGACGGGATAGCTGCATAGGCTGGCGTACTGGAGCTTGAGGGTGGAAGAGGAGTAAACTTGGAAACCTCAAAAGGTTTGGCTGAGTGATTTGGTGATCTATTCGTCACCGGCGACTGATAGGATTCGGGCCTTGAGGGAGCAGAGATAGTAGGCGTGGGGTTCCTTCCATTGGGTTCGGGGTGATCAAACACGGCGCTCGTATCAAGTGACTGTTGATGTGATGATTCGGAGTGATTGGAAATCTCAGGAGGAATCAATGACCGGGTCGGAGGTGGTGGATAAAGTTTCAGGAGAGCACGTTCAACCGCTTTGGTACATTTCGATCCAGTACCATCCATCTCGCATTTGATACCCAGATTCGCTTGATTTTTTGGGGGTTTTCTGAACATGGAGGACGATTGAGATGGGCCAGCGGTTAACATGATCCCGATACGTGCGCCATTAGACTTTTTTATAGCCTCGAGTGCGCTTTGATGACCATCCTGAATGCCTCGGCCACCATTTGCGGACGATGTTCTTTTCTTGACAAAAGAGTCTTTTGAGGATCCGTCATACGGGTTACTGACGTCATTTACAAATCTGAGCCAACAGACACCCAATGAACCACCTGTTTGCGGGTCCAGCTTAATTTCGCATTCTGCTACTCGGCCGAATTTTACAAAGTGATTTCGCACTTGCTCTCCAGTTACCAGTGGATTGAGCGCAGTGATCAGGATCGCGCAAGGGGGCGGGGGTGGTGGTGGACCAAAGCTGTTTTTGTCAAACGCGTAAGGTTGCAATTTCTCAACTTGAGAACGAAACGTTTGCCTTCCTTTAGAAGACCTTGATAGACCGGCGATGAGAGAAGATTTGTGAGAGGCCGTGACTGGAGGCACCGAGAGCGGAGATGGATAGGCAAGTTTAAGACGTGGATCTTTCTCAGGTCTTGAGATTATTGTCCCTGGAGGCTTAAAATGACGATATCTGGACAAATTCATGTAATCGAAGCATCAGCCATTGTATCGAAACCTAGCTCGGCCAACACGCCAAAGCGAGTTAGTGAAAGAGTTGAAGCTAAAAGAGAAGAGGATGACAGAATGAATGAAGATATTAACCCACAGAGGGCCTGCACTTTTCTTAACAACGCTGTTGTCCAGAGCAGGGTCATACGTGCAGCGGTAGTTCATTTTTTCCTTTGGCAATGGATCAAGGACAACTGGCGGAAAGACTTCAAGAGACAAAGCTGTAGACACCGACTTCTCTGTGGAAGAAATGGGTATCGGTACAGAAGATAAGTTACCTGAGACCCATAGCGAAGAAAGGGCTGGCAGAATTCGGGAATATAGATATGAGAAATGGAACTTTACTAGAAGTTACATCTTGATGAGATACGTGACTGGGAGAAGCGAAGGGGGGAGAAGGAGAAGCCATCTGTGCAGGGGTAAGATCGAGGTCAGGTAATCGAGGGGTGTTGGTCGAAAGTTGATGATGATTCATGGGCTGAGACGATTTCGAGGTGGAAAGAGTTTGTGGCAATTTGGTAATCTCTCCAATCGATTGGTAACCAGAGAGAGGCTGAGGATAGGAAGGAGAATCCAATCGAGAACCGTTAAGAGGACTAACAAAAGTGGCATTCTGATTTGATGTAGGCGATTCTCCTCCTTGCCCCGGCACACTCGAGGACATGAACTGTTGTTTTGATCAGTAAGTTTTCCAAAGAGACACTTGAGGAGGTTTAGTTCATGAACAGTAATATAAGTGAAGGAATCTGAATTGGAATAAGTTAACGATGGTAATTGACTTCGTAAAGGAAAGAAGCTAATCAGCGACTCACAACCATGGAAAGATCGAAAAATTATTACATATCACTTATGTAACTTAATCTTAAGCCCTGAACACAACTTAACAAAAACCCAAAACCCATAAACCATAAACCACACCACCCTACTTCAACTTCTCATTTTCAATCCAATCACGCACTCTGACTGGTGTCTCTGCTTCACTACTTCACCACTTTCATTCATTTTCGATACATGAACAATAATTCTCACTTTAAGCCCTCGTCATGCAAGGTTTCAAGATTCTTGCTGAGCCCATTCAACTTCACATCATAAAGCGTTAGATTAGGAGTCAATTAATTTTTTTAATAGCGATTCAATCGTTTTCGAAAAAAAAATGTAGCCAAGACTGAGGGACGCGTCGAGGTTTGGGGATGGATCTGTTTTATCCAGAGTATGTATGTACAAGATATGAAGTTTTGTTGAGATTTGAATAGATAGACAAGATTTTTACAAAATCTGGAATCGATGAGCTAATAACGGATTCCTGAAGACTCACAACAAGCGGTCCAGATCCTTATTCCTGACATAAGCCTCCAAGCCACTTATAATCTCACCTCTTAAATCACAATATCTTTTTATGCTAAACGCATTAAGTGATAGTTCGTCTTTAATGCTACCCCATTCTCCGATTATCCCGGTTTGTTTGTTTTTCAGGGTTTTGGTTCGGGTTGTTGCCCCTGGAACTTGATTCAAGTTCAAAAGATTTTTCAATTTGACCAGGATATCAAGATCCAGAGCAGCGAAAGTGCTGAGTAATATTTCACCCAGAGTTAAACCTTTGAATGATTTCAAATCATAAGTTTTTTTTAGATCATCTGGAATCTTTACCCCCAATCGATCAGCATGGTAGGCTAAGTTTGCAATACGTTCTTTGACAAGTTTTGCTATCTTTGAACCTTCCTTGGTCAGGTAAAACCTAGTGTATTCCATAACCCATTCAAAACTCGAGTTGCAATATTCTGTGCCGCCATAACCCAAAACGTCTCCATTCATGGCTTCTATCAATTCAGCAGCCTTGAATTGAATATCATCCATATCAGCGTCATCCTGAAGCCCAGTTTCATGCTGTAAGCGAAGACAGTGATCAAACACAATAAGTACAGGGAGGTCAATCCCCTCCTTCACAGCACCACTATCGATCACCGCGTCCAGAAAAGATGAATAATAACGAGACATCAAACTCAGCGTCACAATGCGCTTGTTATATTCACCACCAAAGATACCAGCAACCTTCTCAATGGTGGTAGGACTACGTTTCTCCAATGCATTCTCTCGATCACGGAATATATTCCAAAGGTTGAGATCTGAATCCCTAAATGATGGGAACTCTTCATCAGGTCTGAGCAATTGAACAAAAGCTTGAGCATATTTTGGTAAACGATCCTTGGTTAAATTCCAATTCCATACAACTCTTTTTTCTTGGAATTGAGTTTGAATAGATTTTATCCTCCTTGTTGCTTCACGAAAATGTCCAAACCTGGTGGCAAATTCAGCCTTTGCTGGCCCCCAACGATCTGCGCTTTTTAGATAATCAGACGAAATCAAGTATTCAAACTCTAAATCACCCAATAAAATTGGCAGATGAAGTGTCTTATCATGAAATTTCAGGCAATACATTAAAAATTCCTTGATGTTCAGCTTGAAGAGCTCTTCTCTTGTCAATCCAGCATTTGTTGTTGATGGAGGAGGACTACTTGAATCCAAAAACTTTGCATAAATTGATGCTATAGTAGTGTCTTTGTCCACAACTTTGTTTCTTCCCTGCTTGGATTTGGTATTTTTCTTACCTTTTTTATTATTGACAGTTTTGCTCCCTTTCTGACCAACTTTTCCATCCATGTCTTTACTAGGATCAACGTTCTTGTGGTTGATTTCTGCAGCTTCTTCACCGGGTGATAATTTATCTGTCGTCTTCTGGAACTCCTGTTTTTTATGGCCAGATTTGATATCCCCTTTGACTAGATTGGACTCCAAAGACTCATTCAAATCCTCTAAAGCTTTAAACGGGTTCTTATTGTTGAAAGATTTACCATGGGTGATCTCTTCCTTAAACTTTCCCTTTTCTGATATGAGTTTCTTATCATTATCACCCGATTTAGCATTAGTTTTTCTGCCGTTATATGAGCTCTTATCATGGGCGTCTGGATTTGTGTTTATATCAATCACATTATTATTGACATTTTCTGGCTCTTCAGCAACCTTTAAGAGTCCTTCAGGATCTCCTATGCGGGCTTTTGAAATCTTGTTCATTCTGTTTGAAGAATCCTTTGTAGATATCTTTGGAAAGTTAAATGACTTGTTGATCATATGATCAGCATTGATACATATGAGCTTCTGTTCCATTGCCTCATCTTTAACATCCTGGTCTGTGACTTCAAGTGCACCATTGTCTTTTTTGAAACTACTGGACACACTTGCCAAGCTTGTGGGCTGATATTGTTCAGAATGAGTTGGCTGATCTTTTTCAGGAGGTTTGAACTGAACAATGCCTTTGAATGTTGGGACTTCTGTTTCTTTTCTATGACGAGGTATTTCAGATGGTTGTAGATGATCAATTTGACCAATCAATGGCTGGTCAATTACAGCCAGCAGACTAGTGCTCTCTCTGTGACTAACAATGTGAGAAGAAAAACTTTTGTCAGATAGAAAAGGCAATTTTTGTATAAACCCTAATGTTCTGGATCACGTACATGTCTTTCTGCGGTTGAAGGCTTTCCTGGATGTTCTGAAGAGCCTCATGAACCTCTTTCTTGTTTGATGGAAATCCCCAATTTAAATAGTAGGAAAATGTTGGAGCTCCTTGTTGGCCTTCTGGAGGATCAGAACCTATAGCAGATATAGGCTGTGATGGAAAAACTCCATCCATGATTCCAGGACTTGTCCACATATTAAAGTCTCTTGATCGTGATTCCTTGCTACCCAAACTTGTCTCTTTCCAAGAGGTCAAACTCCCATGTAGACGGCTGCTAAATAATAGAAAATAAAAAAAGTATAACAGAAGATCAATATTCAAGATGCCAAAAGGGAATCCTACAGTGATTTTCCACATGAAAGATAGTAAAAACAAAGAGCTGATGGTTCTTTCTGGAAGCTGTGATTTATTTCTTGCATGCAAATGTTCAGGAAGCTGATTATGAATGAAATACTATACATGGGATACAAAACATACAACTTGCAAAGCTCAGACAATGTTTTGCAACCAGTCAGGTCTTTCTACCAAAGATGAAACTTACCAGGTCATGGAAATTTTTGACAGCAGCCAGCTATCTGATTAATAATTTCCTAAACATGTCTCACATGCTTATACACCTGCATATATCAAAAGGAACTGTAGATGGAGAGATGGAAAGAGAAACAAGAAGCCATGTGGTAAATCCTCAAATGGACAAGTCAGTACAAGATCCAAGAGACAGTCTTGATGAAATAAGAAACTCACCAGACATGATCTTGGGATGCTTTTTACAATGTTAGAAAAAGAACTCTATTCATCCTACAAGGTTAGAGTTAGTTTGGTGAGAGACAGGGGATATATTACCAATCCCACTTTTATTCATCTGAGGCAAGTAGAATCTTTAGCCTACTGAGGCATGTTCTACCACTATGGTGTACCTGTCCTTTCATAGGACCAGTTAGCCATCTACTGTGGTCAGGAGAGGGACCCATAGGTGGATCCCAATCTTGCAAGTCACCACCTGTGAGGCAAGAACAGGCTCAAGAGGGGTCCTTGCAGCTAAGAGTTACAGTAATGAAGCTAAACACAAAAAGATGAAACCACCCTGGTCCAACATTCCTGGACCTTCCCCCTGGGCTAAACCAAAAAATGGTTGAGACTAGGCTGATTGCCTAGTCACCTCAGCCATAACACTCCCCTTCTCCTATGAAATGTTATGCAATTTATACAGGTGTGTGTATGGTAATGACTCATGCTGTCAATCAAAGTGGCTCACACATTATGGATGGATATCTGACACACACTTTGTTTGATTATTTGTTAATGGATGATCTTATGTAAGAGCAACACCAACAGCATGCATCATCATTGTGAATCAGAGCCAAAAAAAAGAATAAGGTGACCAAAATCAAACTTTAAGTAAGACTCTTGATTTCCTCAACAAAAGAAATCCATTTAAAAATCCCCAAAAAATCAATTGAAACAGACACTGTACTACTACTACTACTACCATATATTACCCAACAATAACAACAACAACAAGCAAGATAGCACACACACACACATCCGAATATCAAGATTAGAAAAACACACACAATAAATTTTAAAATATCAAGCAAAATCAAGTCAAAAAAAATAGAGAAATCAAAAGAAATGATACTGATTATTAAACAAAGAAAAAAAAACCCAAAAAAGATATAGATATATTTATCTTCAAGTCAAACAAATTATCATTCTTACAATTAATTCCGAAAAAAAGAAAACTATTTCTTTGATTCCAAAATTCCAAGATTTCTTAATTCCAAAATCCCTTTTAAAGTTTAATATCTTTAAAATTCAATAACCTATAAAGCTCATGAATCTGTTCAGCCTAATCCAAAAGCAAGCCCCCAAAGAAAGAGAAAAACAGTCAGTCAAATCAAAAACAAAAAGGATTCCAAAAAAAAACCACTTACTTTTTTCTCTAATGTATCTACACTTTCTTTTAAATGAATTCCTAAAACTTTTCGTTTAATTAAATCTTCACCTATACCAGGTTGATTCATTTGTTGATAAGTTTCTGATAATTCAATGAAAATCCTACAAAATTCCCAAAAAAAACCAACAAAACAATTAAATTGATTAAACTTTTCGGGTTATCTTTCACAACCACTAATTGGTTTGAAAGAAGAAAACTTACTTTCGATGAATTTCAAAATCGTTTTCAATTTCATGAATAATTTTAACCAAAACAGTTTGAGGTTCAACCTTTTCTTTCTCATCATCATCTTCCTTTGCATTCGAATGTCTTGTAAGCTTTTCTTTTTCTTTACTCATCAATTGAATAGGTGCACTACTGATCCTAATCGGTCCATTTCCATTTCCAGCTTGTAATTTCCTTTTCCTACATTCTGAACACGTCGAATTATCATGAGATGGAACGTTCTTAAGAATCGCTTCTGCTCTACTCATCTCTTGATCAATTTGAATCGATCCTCCTCCAGTTCCTCCATTCGATTTGGGTTTCATAGTCGTTGGTTTTTTGGTTTTTGAAGTTGTTAAGGGGTTGGGAGCTGAACTGATTCTTGTAGGTAAAGGATTGCTTGGTTTACTTGGTCCAGGTGTAGGTTGTGATGGTTTTGAAACCGGTGGGACTGCTCTTGTTGATGGTTTTGGTTTTGAATGAGCTATAGTTGAAGTTCTCATTGCTTGTTCTTCTGCTACTTCTTTTTTCAATCTTTCAATCTCATCTGCCTAAAACCCATCCACACACCCACAAAAGAAAAGAAATCTCAGTGAATGTGTTCTCATACACCAATAGAGATCATAAAAAGAACTTACCCCAATAAAACTATGACCACTTCTCGGTGTAGAAGAAGCTTGAGACCTCCATGCTTCTATCCCGCTTCGATCATTCAAAAGAGTGATTTCAGAATGAGATCTGGCAGCTGGCATTCTAGATTTCAAAGGTACTTGATGCCGTTTGACTTCTTGTTGAGTTTTCGATAATCCAATAGGTCTCATCATTCCTGATCCCTTGGGTTGAACTTTGCACGATTTCTTATTACTTTGACTGAGTGATAAAGATCTAGCTTCCATGACACTTTCAATCATTGATCTAATCTCTCTAACTTCAGTTGTTAATCCTTCAAGTCCTCTTTTCAATTCGATCACTTCTTCTGACCATTGTCGAACTTCAGTTCTAACATTCCCAACTTCTTGTTTCACATGTTTATGACGAGTTTTAAACGAATTCAACTCTTCTAAGGCTATTGCATGTGATTCAATTGATTGATTAAGTTTACGTGTATAAACTTTTAATTTTTGTACCATTCTTTCGACTGGTACTTCATGATTTCCTGTGGACGAAATCGGTCCTTCTCGCTTCTTTTCGGATCTCTCTTTTCGTAATTGGGATTCTAAATCTTGAATATGATCTGCACAGTATACATGTTCATTTTCTAATCCTACCAATCTACGTGTTAAGAGTGTAAGAGCTTGATCCAGGGTAGCATCTTAATCAAGCAAAGTCTTGAAATCAGTCAAAGTAAAAATCAATCAGATTAGAATTCAAAAGTCCCTCACCTGGTCTAGTAGAATCGGTCGATCCTTTGGCATTAGCTCTTGATCCTTTATGAAATTCAGGTTTGTCTGGACTTCTCAACGCGTCCGTCAGACCAGTAACATCAGGTACCCGAACCGAATTACCAACGATTTTCTTTGCTTCAGCAGTCAATGATCCATCTTGATTGGTAGAGGTATATTGCATGAATCTAGTGTGTTGTTGTGGCTGAAAATAAGAATTAGGTGAAGGTTCAACAACTTGAATTGATGGTTTAGTTTGAGTTGGTCGTGTAGAGTTCTGATTCAGTTTGAAAGGGGGTACTGCTCCATTTGGTGATGGAACCGAGACTGGTTTCTTAGATCGCATGTTCACTGGGGTTGAGGTGAGACCAGCTTGGTGAGGTCGATTTAACTTGGGTTGATCATCTGATCCGAATACTCTTCGAGCGCGACCTGTACCATCTGATGTTAGTGTACCACGTAGTGTATTGGCTTGTTTGTTGTTTTGATCGCGAGATGCAATAGGGGGAACATTTTGATCAGCAAGCACTCCAGTGATTTTTTCTAAATCGCGTCGAAGTTCTTGAGCCATTCCTTCAAATCCACTGAACGGAGTGGGTGATTTATGATTAGGTTGTTTAGGTTTAAATTGTTGACGATTCTGTTCTAATGCTCTAAGTGGTGTTGGAGCCGAAGTTCTTCTGATGGGAGAAAGAGAAAGGGCTGATAGATCACGTGAGAAATCTCGAGCAACTGAAGATAAATCATCATCAAGTTCGTTTGAATCTATCATTGGTGCAGCAGATAATCGACGATGATTTGGTAAGAAACGACCGATTCCAGGTGGTGAGAGTGAAGATAAACCGAGACGAAGAGAAACTGAATCCGTATTATTAGTTTCTTCATCGAGACTTTCAGTGATTTGAGTTTCGTCTTCTTCTTCTTCTATGATATCTTCTTCCTCTTCTTCCAGATCTTCTTCTTGTCCATCTTCTTCCTCCATTTCTTCATCTTCATCTTCTGTACCAAAGTCATCCATAATATGAGTTGAATATTTAGTTTGATGATGAGTAGGTTGTTGTTGTTGTTGATGATGATTACGTTCGAATTCAGCCAAATCTTGATCTAATGAAGATTCATGACTCGATGGTAAAGTAAGTTCATGAGAAGTTGAATTCATGATACTAACTTGAGCCAATGGATGTGGTCCACGTGGTAATGGATGAGGTGTTTGAATTAGAGTTGATTTCTGTTTGTTGTTGTTTGTAGTTAATTGTTGTGCTGGATAACCAAATGGTTTGAGCGAAGTAAGAGGTGGTCTACCTAGATGAAGTGCACTAGAAGAGCCCCCGGGAGTAGGTGTTTGTGGATAAGGGGAAGCGAAAGGTGAATTCATCTTTGATGTGGTTCTGGTGATTAATTAAGTTAAATGAAACTTGACCCCCTTTGTTAGAATGATCTACTGATTTGGTATTTTGAGTAGAATGTCGATCAACAAATCAGGTTGATTGAGATGAATTGGAATGAAGAGTGGGAATATAAAATGAGAATGAGAATGAGAAGAACAAGAAATCGAAAAAGAAAAAGAAATTGAAGAATGAAAGTTGAGCTGGGGACTGCACTCTGATGAGGTCTTGACTTATGTAACCATGTGTAATTCTAACGCGTCTCACTCTCAACAAGATCAAAACAAACAACTCAATCACGTGATCAATCATCCTATCCCCAACTTCAAAACTCAACTTCAGCTTCTTCTCAAAACTTCATCTCACTCAGCTTCACTTCATCGTCAAACTCTCCATCATTCGATTCCCTATCATTTCCATCGGATCGGCATCGGAGATCTCAGCTATCAATCCCGTGAACATCACACTAGTATCGCTTGATGTTTTGGACACACATACATTCATCAAGTGGGTCCCTATCGGTCGAAATCGCTTGATGAGAAGCTCAGGACTTTTGCAAAAATTAAGTACACTTTCTTCCTGTCAGTGCTTTAGAATTTTGCATTCACTAGAATCCATCATAATCTTTTTGCTTGAAAAACATAAAGCTCTTCAAAAATCCAATTGGTATTAAGACTTCAAGTTCTTCAGCTTTAGAAACCAAATTCTGAATGAATCCTGGAAAAACTTAAATCTGGATCCATAGCAATAAATGGTACAATCTTGATGAGAAGGTGCATTTATTGGCCAGTGCTCAGTAGCTGGGCGCATCCTTTTTCAAACAGGCGCGCCCTTTGCCTCCAAAAAAGTAGAAAAAAAGGAAAATATCTTCTACACCATCAGAGGCCAGTATTACAGTGCCAGAAGATGAATAGTTGCCAATGAAAGAATTCTAGCCATCAATTGCAAGGTAGATCACAAGAGATATCATGATCAAAGTCAGCCTGAGCCCCGGAACCGACGCCCGAGGGTGACCCGAGCCCCGAGCCATCGGGGTGCGGCTTCGGGCAGGATTTTTGGGACCCCAATACATCAGGGGCGCCTTAGAGCATCCACAGCCGTGCCGTAAATTCATATGGTACGGAGCGCCGCACGGATTGTGTAGGCAAGTGTTTGAGGCATAAATTTCAAACGATGCACAGCCGTGGTGTTGTACAGTACGGCTTGTAGCATATTTTGTGAAGTGAGTTATGGGTTAGTTGATCATCGAGGGAGATATTCTGCAGGGAGTGCGGTCGTGGAAGCAGGAGTTATGGGAGAAGTGAGGTACAGATGAATTTAGGGAGCGAGCCAAAATAGAACATATTTGGCCTATTTTGGCTTGCACGGAGGGAATTCCCTGAGCTACGTGAAAATTTAGGGCATTGGCTGTGGATGATTTTGCCCTAAATTTCCGTACGACATGGTTTACGCCACACGGCTGTGGATGCTCTTAGGGTTCAGGGGCGGGTGCATAGTTCTCAAACCCCCAATCTTATCCGTGGGGACCCCCGGCTTCCCGTGGGCTTCAGACATTTGAGATAGGGGTTGGGGGGCTTCTGAGAGCTGGGTTTTGACTGGTTTGGGGTAGGGGTCTGGCGCGGGGGGGCTTATTGGGTATTGGTTTGGGGGGCGGGTAGGTAGGCCATTACCCGTGTTTCTTGGGTTGGGGCTCGGGCTGAGATCAAAGGAAAGTCGACTGCAGCTCTATATGCATGAAACTTTTACAGCAACTTGATTACATCTTTTGGACAAGACTCTGTCTGTCAAGTGACAAGAGCTCAGAGTGAGGTAGACTGTTGAACCAATATTTCAATACCATGATGAAGCCTAATCACACTCCTCAGAGTCCTCCTCAGGCATTTCTGATGGAGATGGGTGGCTGGAATGACAAAGCTGGGGACTGACTATGGGGCCCTCCCCTATACATCTTGAAGCTTTGAGGCACTACCAGGCGCAACTTTTTTGCACTTATTGTGCCATGCCCACAACATGACTATGAGTGTACACTAAGACAATGACCCAGTCCCAGAGCTTTGTGGCCAGCCACAGGGACTTTGGTCAGCCCCAGAAATTCCAGAGGTCTCACAAAAGGTAGGCAGGGCCAATGTTATGAGCCTACTTCTATAAGGCTTCATCAGATATTCTTATACTGTACTTATATCTCTATAGAAGTCTGGAGAAGAGGGACATGAGTTCCTCATGTAGCAATCTAACTATTGAACCAGAGGACCCTTCACACTCATCTCTTGCATCTCTACACCTAGTGAGTTCTATCATATTGCTATGTCTGACTTGAGATTCAAGAAAAATAACATCAAGAAGAAAGAATTCAAGTCAAATGAAAAGGAAGTCAGATTAATAAATTCAAGAAGAAGAAAGAAAGCAAAAGAACTATCAAAAGCTTCAAGCCGTATTTATAAAAGAAACATTGTAGAATTTTAAAACCAACAAGTGAAGACAATTCAAGTTAAAAAGATGAAATCAGAAGATTCTCAAACCTTAACACTCAGTAGCTTGTTATTACAGAACTTTAATTTCAACTGTGAATTCAGATCTCAAACTTTAAAACACAATCTTTCAAGCAGCCAAGATGCCGGACTTCAAAATACCCAACAGTCCACCACCTGGACAGGAGACTGAATTCAAAGGATTGATGGAAAATCAGATCAAATGAAAGAAGTATTGAAAAAGTTAGATAGGTTGAATGCAAGGCGAGATGAGGAAACTTGATTGAGAGAAGAAGCTGAAAGAGGATTAAGGGAGTTGAGAGTTAGCCTTGGGCAAGGGCCAAGAGGTGGAATGAATCTACAAACTATGAAACAATCCACAATACCACCAATGACCTGTAATACATACCTTGCCTCACCTCTTACCCAGATTTGTTGCATTAAGCCACACAAAGATTGCCACTCCTGATATGTTTGATGGAACAAAAGGACCAAAAGCAGA